AGAAATCCGACGATAATCAGTGCCCGAGCGAAAGTCTGATATTAATTAGTGGCGGAGCGGAAGCGTGGTGTCAATCGGTGGCCAGGTAGAAGTCAAGCGTCAGTCGGTGGTTGTATGGAGGTCCGGCGTCAGCCGATAGCCAGGTGGAAGTCTGACGTCAATTAGCAGCCGGTGGCCAAGCAGAAGACTGACATTAGTGGGTGAGTGGGCAGAGTTCCATCCTCAGTTGGAGGCTGAGCGAAAGTCCAACAATAGTTTGTGGTTGAAGAGGAGCCTGGTGGCAATATAACACACACACACACACTCTCTCTCTCTCTCTCTCTCTTCCTTGCTTCCCCTGCTTCCTCCATGGTTCCTCTATTCTTCCTCTTTTTTCTCATGAGGAATAAGATATCTATTTATAATTTTCTAAGAATGACATAACCAGTAAATATGAAGGAGATCAAGGGCATGTTAAAAGTGTTTTGAATGGACAATCGATATCAACTCCTTTGATCATGAACCACTTATCGAGTATTTGAGTGCCTAATGATGTCAGAATTCAACGATCTTGAGCTCATAGGATTCGTCAGCCGCTCGATTCGACTATTATAAGCATGTAACATTTGGAAATTATTTGATCATCCAATTTATAGTTTGAACCTTCCAAATACGCTTCGAGTCTTCGAATTGGTCCCATTTGGGCTCGAATTGAGTCGAGTTTGGTGCCATTGGATTTGTCTTTTCGAGACGTTCAGTTTGTTGAAATCATAGTTCAGATAGTCCCAGATTAATTTCAGAAGTTTCCAACTTGATTTTACCTCGAGATTTGTGCTTAATCAAGATAAATTTTTTATGATATATGAAAACAAATAAAATTAAATATAAAATAATTAATTCGACAAATATGTTCTATTTCAAATGACCAAATTGATATTTTTATATAATATAAATAAAATCAATCCTTTTCTTTAAATTTGTAAGTTCAGATAAATAACACCAAAAAAAAAAACACAACAAAATGTAGTTTACCAAATAAAAAAATCTTTTGATATCTGAACTTTCGCTCATAAGAATATATTTTTGGATAGATGCTAATTGACATAGGACAGCAGAAGCTGCAGTGAGAAACAAAATTAGATCGTAAAAAAACGAGCATTAATTAGCTAAATATCTCAAGGAGATAAAATCCCTTAGCATAAAAAACAAATGAGGATTTTTGCTTCAAATGAATCGAAATTCTACGTGTAACTAGAAGACTCCAAAATTTGTGTTATCCCTAAAGTTTCTTCAGATCTTATTTGATCAAAATCAAAACTTCAAGTTCAACGCTAATTTTCTTCTGCAACAAACTGCAACTTTTCACTAAATCCAAAAAGCCCTTTATTTCATCAAATTTATTTCTGATCTGACAGAGTAAGTTGGATACAAAATTTCTAGTTTCACATTAATTTTACCCATGGATATAGCAAGTCGTTTAAACAAGAAGAAAAGATTTATGATTTCGCTTAAGTTGAAAACTACATACGTATGGAATAATAAGTAATGAGCAGAGATTAATAATAATAATCGAAGTCCCTATATCGCATAGAAAAAGAACAAAAAAAAAAAAAAAAAACCCACGCCCCCCTTTTATAATCATTCAAATAATTTAAAAAAGTCATAATACGACGACGGAGGTCGGAAGGACCGGACAGCAGTGGTCAGAAAGACTATAGTCTGACGACGAAGATCGGAAGGACCGTAGTCTGGTGATAGAGGTTAGACGGACTGTAATCAGCGAGTGACAGTGATTAGAAAGATCATTGTCTAGTGAGAGATGTCGGAAGGACCGTAAATGGCGAGTGACAGTGGTCAGAAAGATCGTTGTTTAGCGATAGAGGTCCGAAGAACCGTAGTCAGTGGGAGAAAGTGGTCAGAAATACCGTTGTTTGGCGATGAAGGTTAGAAGGACCATAATCGGCAGGAAAGACAATTGTTTGACAACGAAGGTCAGATGGACCGTAGTCGGAGGGGGACATTGGTCAGAAAGATCGTTGTCTGCTGATAGAGGTCGGAAGAACCATAGTTGGCGGAGGACAATAGTCAAAAAGACCATTGTCAAGCAACGAAGGTTGGGGGCCGGACGGAATTCCGACGTTAATTATAGTTGGGGGCCGGACGGAATTTCGACGTTAATTAGTGGTGGGGCGAAAGTCCGGTGTCAATCGATAGTTGGGCAGAAGTTCGACGTCAATCGGTGGTTGTGTGGAAGTTCGAAGTTAGTTAATATCCGGGTGAAAGTCTGACGTCAGTTAGTAGCTGTGTGGATGTCTGGTGTTAGTCAATGGCTGAGCAGAAGTCCAACATCAGTTTGTGACTGGGCAGAGTTCCGACGTTAGTTGGTGGCCAAGCGAAAGTTCATCAATGATTGGTGGTCGAAGAGAAGCCTGGTGGCAATAGAACTCTCTTTCTTCCTTCTCTTCCTTGCTTCCTCCTCACTTCCTCCTTGGTTCCTTTATTCTTCCTATCTCTTTCCATAAGAAATGAGAGGTCTATTTATAATTTTATAATAGTGGCATTACCAATAAATATGGAGGAGATCAAAGGCATGTTGGAAGTGTTTTGAATGGACGGCCGAAATCAACTCTTTTGATCATGAACCATATATCAAATATTTGAGTGCCTTAATGATGTCAAAATTCAACGATCTTGAGCTCAGTGGTTTCATCACGTTGAGCCGCTCGATTCGACTATAAGAATGTAACGTCTGAAAACTGTTTGGTCATCCAATTTATAGTTTGAACCTTCCAAATGCGCTTCGAGTCTTCAATTTAGTTCCATTTGGGCTCAAATTGAGTCGTCTATGGTGCCATTGGGTTTGTCATTTTGAGATATTTAGTTCAAGTATAAGTTTGCTGAAATCGGAGTTCATATGGTCCAAAATTTAACTTTTGGAAATTTCCAACTTGATTTTGCCACGAGATTCGTGCTTAATCAAGATAAATTTTTGATGATATATCAAAACAAATAAAATTAAATATAAAATTATTAATTCGACAAATTTATTCTATTTCAAATGACCAAATTGATATTTTTATATAATATAATAAAATCAATCCTTTTCCTTAAATTTGTATGTTCAGATAAATAACACCCAAATAAAGCCAAGCCAAGCCAAAAAAAAAAATTTACAAAAAGTAGTTTATCAAATAAAAAAATCTTTTGATATCTGAACTTTGCTCATGAAGATAGATTTTTGGATAGATGCTAATTGACATATAGGACAGCAGAAGTTACAGTGAGAAACAAAATTAGATCGTAAATAAATGAGCATTAATTAGCTAAATATCTCAAGGAGATAAAATCCATTAGCATCAGAACAAATGAGGAATTTTGCTTCAAATGAATCGAAATTCTATGAGTAATCAGAAGACTCTGAAATTTGTTTTATCCCTAAACTTTCTTCAGATCTTATTTGATCAAAATCAAAACTTCAAGTTCAACGCTAATTTTCTTCTTCAACAAACTAAAACTTTTCACTAATCCAAAAGCCCTTTATTTCATCAAATTTATTTCTGCTCTCACAGAGCAAGTTGGATACAAAATTTCTAGTTTCACATTAATTTTACCTGCCCTAAAAACCAGTAGCCATGGATATAGCAAGTCGTTTAAACAAGAAGAAAAGATTTATGATTTCGCTCAAGTTGAAAACTACATATATATGGAATAATAAGTAATGGGCAGAGATTAATAATAATAATCGAAGTCCCTATATCGCATAGAAAAAGAACAAAAAAAAAAAAAAAAAACCCCAAAAAAAAAAAAAAAAAAAAAAAAAAAAAAAAAAAAATCCTAACATAGATCCTCCTCTCTTCACTCCCTTTTCCCATTTTTTTTCTAGTAAATAATCATCTAAGATGGCATAAATAAAGATATAGATCGATTGAAGGGGGCACAAACCGAACCAATGGATGGATCGCTAACAACAGCTCGTCAAAATTACAAACTTGATCATGGAGATCAAACCTGGGACTCATTCTTGCGCCCCAAGTCCTCACTTTCCTTCTCTTCAATAAGATTTCGTGCCTCCTCATCATTGGGTACTGTTTTCTTCTGAGCTTCCTTGGCCTTAAGCCCCTGCAGCTTGATGTGGTTATAGTAAGCCACTCCGAGGAAAGCGATGCCGTAGCCGATGAGGTTAATAAATGTGACGGTGTCACGGATCACAGACCATGAGAAGGCGATGAGAAGCCAGTCCTTGACAACACCGGCAACGTTCATTGTCAGAGCAGAAGTCTTCCCAACTAGCAGGAAGACGGCGAGATTGAGCGCAAAAGCGCAGAAGGAGTTGGTTCCGAAGACAAGAAAGTCAAGGTGGAAAGAAGAGGTGTTGCGGAGTATGGGGAACTCAACGATGGCCCAGGGAAGGGTAAGGAAGACAAGGCAACAGGGAGATACATAGTAAAGAGTGGTGATGGGGTTCAGGGTAATTCCCTTGGACGTGAGGAGGATCTGAATCAGCACAAGACGGGTCGCCTCAAAGGCAACAGCGCCAAGCTGGAGCAAAACCCCCCATGCATCAAATCTAGCCTCACCATAGGCAGCGATCGCAACACCAAACGAAATAGAGAGCATATTAGCCATCGTTGAGCTGCGGAAACTCTCCTTGTTAAACAGAATCGAGATGGAATACACAGCCACAGGCATCAGGGCTTTGAGCATCTGAATAAAAGAGACGGATAGGTATATATATGCCGAATTCGAGAACCAGAGTGAAAAAGCGTAGAGTGCCCCTATCGGCACAACGCTGGAAACATAGAGTTCCCGTGTCATGGTAGGGGAAGATGGAAGGTCAACCAGACGAAGAACTCGGACAAGTATTACAGCAAGAGAGGAGCAAAAGGCCATGTGAATCATGGTGAGAGAGATAGGGTAGGGCCAGTTATACATCTTAGGATCGAGAATGTATTTGTTGTAGACGATGACGGTAAAACTGAGGAAGATCCATATTCCGACATAGAAGTATGAGAGAAGTACCTTCTTCACCACGCTCTCGCTTGCGATGGAGCCCGGTGACCCCTCGCGACCCATCGATCTTCTTCCGGCAGACTCAGAATCGTAGATCGATAGATCTGTAAATCCCTCTCTTGCTCCGATTGAGAAGAACACACCGCTATAGAGCGGTGTCAGTGCAACCAAACCCTAAACCTAACCCTAATTTATCTGCGAAGAAGGTAGAGGGAGAGGAATGTACAGAATGTGAGATCTGGAGAACGGAGGGGGGTGAACGGGAATTATAAAGGGAGTGCTGGCTGCTGACGGACTTTGGGTTGGAGTAAAAAATTCCAAAAATAGCCCTAATAATTTGTGAGAAAGATCCTTTCTCCTTCGAGCACGGGTCTGGCGATTGCCTTCGGCTTTAGCGCTTGGCATCCCCTCGAATTTTTTAATTTTATTGATTCTTCTTGGGTTTTACATGTGTTGAGGGCTAGAAATTTTATGACAAGACTAGCATATAATTATTGTTGTGGAGTAGAATATACGCGGTGGTAGAGTTAAAAAATTTTCATCTTAGTGTTGTACGGATATCTAGCACACAAACATAGAAGAAATAATAACACAAGAATTTTTATGTGGAAACCCTGAAAGGGAAAAAACCACGGGGTCTCGCCCAGTTGAAATAGTTCCACTAGCGTTTTGTTTGAAATACAAGAGGCTGACTCGTCCACAAAGTTAGGACGATCAGATTACAATGATTCTCTTCTAAGTTGAGATTCAATTACAAAGTTGAGCAGAGTTCTGACGTCACTAAGGAGATTGGGAAGAATTCAGGTGTCGTCCGAAAGTTGGACTGAATTCCGGCGTCGAACAGAACTTTGATGTTGCTTATGAAGAACTCTGGCGTCACCTGGATGCCCGGCCGAATTCCGACGTTACTCAGGCGGCTGGAAGAACTCCGGCTGTGGTCGAGGAGGAGTTATTCCCTCCAATCCTTCTCTTCTCTCTTCTCTTCTTCTTCTCTTCTTCTTGTTTGGGGTCCCCCCTTATGAGAAATGAGGGGTCTATTTATAGGTTTTTTGGAGTGGCATAGCTAGCAAATAGGTGTGAGATCAGGGGCCAATAGGGAGTGGTCGAATGGACAGTTGATATTGAATCCCTTGATCATGCACCGTTCGTTAGACATTTGAAGGTCTTAATGATGTCGGAATTCAGCAATTTTGGGCTCGTTGGATTCGTCTCGTCGAGCCGTTCGATTCTACTATAAGCTCATTAAAATCAGAGACCGTTTGATAACTCAAATTGCGGTATGAACTTTCCAACAACACTTTGTGTTCTTGACTTGGGCTCATTTGGGCTCGGATTGAGTTGAATTTGGTGTCGTTGGGTTCATATTTCCGAGACGCTCAGTTCGACTATAAGTTTGTTGAAATCGGAGTTCAGGTGATCCCAAATTTAATTTTTGAAGTTTCCGGGTTGATTTTGCCTCGAGATCGTGCCCGATCAAGATAATTTTTTGATGATATATCAAATATATAAATAAATAAGTACAAATAATATCATAGTTTTTACATAAAAAAATTATTAAACTTATCTAGTTGAAATGATTTCACTATATAAACGTTGATAATTTCACTATATATAACATTGCTTAATTTAGAGGTGACAAAATTGCAAGAGTATACATAGCTAATATAAAATATTGCTGAGCCTAAATGAGGTGAAAGATGTTCAGACGGTTGTAAACGTGTGAGAACGATTTGACGGCGTTGGTTAAGTGTCAGCAATCAGACAATTGTGGTTGTGGGGTGGCGAATTGACATTGATGGTCTAATGATGGTAGTTGTCTGACGGTTGGGGTTGATTGATGACAACGCAACGATGGAAGTCAAGCAATGAAAGTCTGACGAGGGTGGTAGTGCGGTGTTATGAAGGAAGTGGTATGGCCGTGGTTGGGCGATGATTTGATTGTGATAGTCAAGATTTGGTTCGACGATTAGGTTTAGACGGCGAATGATTAACAACGATGGTCGGGTGGCGGTGGTCCAATAATTGTGATCGGGAAGCGGTGACTCAACTGTAATTTTTGGTCAACAAAGATTTGATTGTGAAGGTTGGGCGTTGGTTCGACGATGGTGGTAAGGAGGTACAACCCTAACTGCTTAATGAGGCGCAACAAACCCCCTTAAGAAAATAAATTATATATATTTATATATATAAACGGTGAAAAGATAAAATAATAAAAAATCTTAAAAATTTAAAACAAAAAAAATCCCCCTCTTAGATTTATGAGTACCCTCTTTGAATGTAAGAGAGGCATAGTTCTTCTTAAGCTCTGATTCCCCCGATAAGATAAGAGAAAAAGTGTTTAGCAACAATTTAAAAATCATCAAAGATGATCAGGGCTTTGCTCTCTTATGTAGGATCTAGTTCTCCCTCGTGAAAGGTGTGAAAAGTTGTTTCACAAGTGTTTAAAAATCATTAGGGGAGATCATGGCTTGGTTCCATACCTTGGGTTCTAGTTCTCCACCATAAAAGGAACTTGTCTATCCATTGAGAACTTGCGTTGTTGGCGACCCTTACTATCTTGCAAAAGGGTAAGTATCTATCTCTATAAAGGGCCAAGAAGTGAGATAAAACTATAGTTCCCCATTCAAGAGCTACACTTCTTTAATATTTCTTAAGGGTGACTTGATCTGCTTGGGATTGGCTTCAATCTCGTAATGAATGACTATGAATCTAGGAAAAAATTTCTAATATGACTCCAAAAATGCACTTGGCTGAGTTGAGTCATATATTGTGATGTAGAATGAGGAGAAAGAATGGTTCCAAGTTAGCGATATATTAGGATTTTCTTAAGTTTTTTACAAATATATTATCAACATATACTTCCATGAGTTCTTTATAAGGTTTTTGAAAATTTTATTCATGAGACATTGGTTGGTCTTGAACCCTTCTTCCTGTGTGCTCGATCGTTTTCGATCTCGCAGGCTTGTTTCGATTGGAGTTGTTGTCGGCGTCAAAGACCGAAGTCTGGTCGTTCGCTTGTGTCCAATTCCTCTGATCTCCCTGCTTGGTATAAACCCTAACCTAGATTTTTTTTTTCCAAATGCTTGCACATTAGGTTGAAGAAGATGATGATTAACGAAATTACCTCATTATTGTGAATTTGTTTATATGATTTTGATGAGTTTACAATGTTGTTTGAACGAAAATATTGATTCAGTAGTATGAGTTGTAAACATTTAAAGTTTTTTTTATGCATAAAATATGTTTTGGGTTTTAGAGTTTACAATGATATGGATGCCTCCAAAATTAGTAGATAAGCTATATGAACATGCATAATAAAGATGTGAATGATCAAATACGATTCCTAGGGCTTCATATAGGGTTTTGATTAAATTTAAACTTTTTCTAAAAAAGGCAAAAATCTAAAGTGCTTTAGGATTTGAATTTAAATTGGATTTTAAGGTTTAGATTTCACACTAAATTTTTATTTAAGTATTTAAGGATTGCCGCATGATTGAATCTTCATTGAATGATTGAATAGTTTTTAAGATATTGAATGAATAAAGTTCAATGATTGAATATAGATAATTGATTAAAGTTTAATGTTTGAGTGAACATTTGATTAAAGTTTATTGTCTTAATGTAGATGGTGTTTATGGTTTTTTTTACAAAAATTAAAACCTTGCATCAATTAGTTCTCTGTTATCCTCTGTTCTTCAAATCATTCTTGATCAATTACACAATTTGTGTTTCACCCACCACGGCACCAAACTTAATTAAAAAGGAAAAGAAAATTGAATTTTGAGCCAATTGAATTTAAAACTATTCTTAAACTTATGATATATTAACCAAATGATTTAAAAATTCCTAAAAAATATAAAAAGTAAAAGAAAATCAAGTGAGTAATTGATCCCAAACTTCTTACAAAATAAGAAGCAGAAAAAGAAAGCTATAACGAATCGTTCATTACCAATAATTATTTCTTTATTTTGATGTACAAGATGATGAGCTAATTTAGTAATTTTTTTCTCAGAAACTATTTTTAAATTATTTTTCTCAGTTTTGATGGACAATTCATCCGATGCTTGACAGACTTCTAGAAACTTATGTTTGTTCTGCTGATAAACTGTAGTTTTTTTCTTCAAGTTGTATGGATTGTAGTGGATATTTTATGTATTTTTGAACTTATGTTGTTTTGATTTTGAATTGTAGTGGTTCTTGTAATATTTGAAATCGTAATGCTTGCACTTATCTATTTATAATTTAACATGTATGATTTTGCTATCATCTGATCTCTATGCCTATTATTGGTCTCTCAAATTCTATTTTCAATGTGAAGAAAAAATCATCTTATACAATGAACTTTTGGAGAAATAGAGAGAGAAAAAGAATAATTGAATGTACTTCTAAAGGAAGAAGCTAGTTGAATGTTATGTGCGTAGTTGTTTCATAAAAGAGAGATGATTTTGACAATTGAATGTTATGTAGGGTTTGATGATAGATTGACAATTTATTCAACTACTTGTTTGTAATAAGCTTTACTTCTTCTTGTTTGTCAAAAGCTTCTTTTTGGTAGTGATATAGCATGAACTTAAGCTAATAGGTGACTTGGAAGATAATATTTTGATTCTTTCTTTTTTTTTTTTGGATATTTTATGCTCGATGCCAAAGTGATTTATAAGTGAAGAAGTGACATTCTTTGTATGAGATCCTACATGATTTCAAAATGTTAATCTTATTGAAAATCGTTAAGCTTGATTGTTATTAATTTTTTTTTGTGATGTTTTGTTAGTTCTTGTGCTATTTTTCTTGAGATGTTAAGTTCAATTATTCATGATCATAATATGTGGGCTTTTGTAAAGCTTATTGAATGAGTTTGCATCTCATAATGAAGTCAAATTCGTTTTAAAAAAAAATTCTGGGAGGTTGTGGCGATTTTAACTGCCACAAGATTTCAGACATATTGTGGTTTTAACCCTTGCTAAATTTAGCATTTGTCACTTCTAACCCGCCACTAATATTTTTGAAGCGATTTTATGACTGCTGAATGTCTAGCGTGATTACAATTCGGTGCAACGACATTCAGCGGCAAAAATCTGATTTTTTGGTAGTGAAAGTATTGTGAAATGCAATTTTCTATTTAGTTTATGATGCAATCTCTATGGTTGTTTAGTTTAATGGCTACCAAATGATCATATCAAGAAGAAATTATTATGTGCGGAGTCCATATGTGTCCGGATTCCAATCAAAATTGGGCACTTCGCATGTACACGTGGTGTGCATTATACACATCACGTAATACACACC